CTCCTCCTCCTCCTCCTCCATTACAGATCAAACCCAGGGCCTCATGCAGCCAGTGCTCCAGTGCTCTACCCCTGAGTTATATGCCCCCTCCACCTTGTTTCAAAGCTTAACTTCCAGTATTATTATCTCAGTGTCCACCTGGCTTGGATTTTTGCGGGAACTATTCCTGCTTACCCTCGAGATTCAGTCAGCTTCTGCCCAGTGCTCTCGGCCCCCATGTCATGGTCTCTGAGGGTCAGTAAATGGGGTTTCTTTGGGGAGGGGTTCGCTTTTGCTCTGAAGGTCCCCTCGTGAGGGTCCTTCCTAGGACCTTCTCTCCCACTGCCCCAGCAGCATTCAATATCCCCAAGCACTTTTCTGGGGTGAGTATCCCCTTCCGTGGCCCCAGCAGGTGACTGGGGTGTTCTGGCCCTCTGACGCCCCTTCCTGTCGGCCCACAGCAAGGAAGTGCCAAGCTGCCCTTCCGTGGCCACCTGGGCTGGGGAGAGTGGTCCTGTCTCCTTCCCAGGGGATTGCACTACAGACAATGGCCACAACTTTCACCCTCTGGAAATCTCTGGACCACAAATGGGCACCACTTGTGTACCTACATCTGGCCCTTAGCTCCGGGGCTTATGCATCACAGGGGGGCAGGCACCCCAGCACTAGGAGTCATTTCCCCACAGCCTACTCCCACCCCAGGGTCTCTCCAGGAGCTCTGCAATCTGAGCTTCTCTTCTTGCCCTATCTTCTTACTAAACTTGATTATGCTCGGTTTTTTCCCCCATCATCAATATTTATTGAGCATTTACAGTGTACTAGGCACAATAGAACATACAGAAAACATTGTCCCTGCTCTTGAGGAGCTTACATTCTAAAAGGAAAAAAAAATACACCCCTTTTAAAATGGCATTTTTGTTTGGTGTTTCCTGTAAAGTACTGAGGAAATATTCTGTAGGGTGAGCTTTGGGTATAATTTAGCCCCATCATTACTTAGAGAAGAGAGAAAGAAAGGATTAAAAAGCAGACAATAACAGACTATCAGGATAGGGAGGGTTTACAGGGAGAAAACACAATCTCACCAACTAAGGAGAGACATGCCAAGTGAAGAGGATGAGGGAAGTAGTCGGTGGGATGCAAGCAAAGGAAGCAGGTATCTCAGACATCAAGTGGAGCCAGAAAGATCATTCGGCCTTTTCCCAAGCACATGGCCACCAAATAGGAATGGTTGGTGACAAGGCAGAAGGCTAAAAAGGAAATCTTGTGTACCTGACAAAGAGAAAAAGGATTAAAATTGAAGGCAAGCTAAAAAGAGTATCAAGAAATTCTTAAAAACCAAAAGTGATCTGGAAGCACAAAACTTAGAGTTAATGCTACCCAATATCATGATGGGCCAAGAACATTGTGGCTTCCTAAGTTAGAAAATGCCATATACCAAAATTTTAAATGGAACACATTAATTTTTTTCCAATCTCCCCTCCCATCATAAAATAAATTTTTTTTATTTCAATTATTTTTTAGGGGGGAAAAGGGAGACATAGGACATGGTTGAGAATGGTAGTTATATTACTAGTATTTTTGTTATGATAAACTTTGCCTTTAAACTTGGAAAAAACCCATTAGCTGCCAAGAGGGAAGAAATAAATTTCCAAGAACATACAATTTCCTTCAGAGAAGTTTCAAAACCAAAAGGCTAATTTACATGAAAAACTGTAGAGAAAGTCCATTCATAAAACTTTTATTCCACTTACATGAACCTAATACATATGTTCTTTATTTCTTTTTTTTTGGTACCGGGGATTGAACTCAGGTCCAAAGCTAGCTATCATCTCAAGTTATTTCCCTGTTAACTATTTTTACAGCACAGTCATGTTAGGCAGGTATCAAAAAAAAAAAAATCACAAAAGCAAAAAAAACCTAAAACAAGTTAAATACATGGCTTTTTTTGTTTGTTTGCTGCTATGCTTGATATACATGAAGTAATGAACACCAAGCAATTCATTTTTACTGCATCTTTACTTTTGCATTTGTTCTTAGGTTGCCTAAAACATTTAAATACAAAATAAAATGTGTAGCAAAAATAATGAAAACAAACAGCAGGTAACTTTACAAATAATGGAATGTGAACCATTTCTGCTTGTATCCAGAGTAAATGGGTGACAACTTTGTCTAAAGGAACACCACGCAGCTGACGTCACAGGTGTGCGTGCTCAGACTGCCCACTCCCCAGAAACACAAGGCCCATACACAGAAGACATGGGGCATCTGTTTCTACCACATAAGCTCAGTTTTTGTCAGTTGCAATAAAGAGTCCCAAGAAATATAAACCCATGTTCACACCACACAAAATAAATTTCTACCCAGCTAACTTCAGTTGTTTAAAAACACAGAAACATTAATCGGAAACATAGAAGAAGCTTTGTATAATTTTGGTGTAGGACCAACCTACCTAAACATTGCCTAAAATGTAAGAATCATAAAGGGAAAGATAGATAATTTTATTTATATAAAAAGTGCATCTTTAAGTGCAAGGTTCCCAAGTTCGATCCCCGGTACAAAAAAAAAAGGATGTCTCTATGATATATAGAAATATGTACACTGGGTGTGATGGTGCACACGTGTAATGCCAGCACTTGGGAAGCTGAGAGAGAAGGATTGCTGCAGGTTCAAGGCCAGCCTGAACCACATAGTGAGACCCTATCTCAAAAAAACCAAAATAAATTAATAAAAACATTAACATATCCAGTTTTGTCATAGGAGAAAAAGAGAGTTATCTCTCGCATCCATTAATGTAGACTTTTGGGAGAATGACACCATGGTGTCCATCAGCATTTCAGGTGAACATACGGGTTTTCTTGGCATTTCCGCTTCAAGTTACCCACAGAAATGCTTCTAAAAGCGCACAGAGGAGTGTGGGTAATGAGCAGCAACTTAAGCGCCCATCCCAAATTCTAATCCTCAGGCACGAGTCACTAGGGACTGGTTAATTAAACTCTATCTGTTCTGCAAAATGCTACGCAGCTATTTAAAAAGAAGGGAGTCAAGCTGGGTACAGAAGCATACACCTGTAATCCAGCTATTTGGAGGCTGAGACAAGAGTATTGCAGGTTTGAGGCCAGACTGGGTAACTTAGTGAGATCTTGTCTCAAAGTAAAAAACTAAAAATGAGGAGGGATATAGCCCAGTGATGAGTGCCCCTGGATTCAGTCCTCTATCCTGCCCAAAAGGATAGAGGAGGAGGAGAGGGAGGGAGCCTATCTGTATGTACCAACAAGGAAAAATATCCTTGTTATAGTGAGATTTAAAAACTCACCCCCTGGGCCAGGGATTAAGCTCAGTGGTTCCACCCCCTGCCTTGCAAGTGCAATGTCCCGAGTTCAACCTCCAGTACCAAAAAACCCCAAAACCAGAAAAACTCACCTTGAGGAGCAGTATGAACGTGGGACGTAGACTAAGGGCTTGTCTAGCACAGAGGTAAGGTGCTCAGGCCAAGGGATCTAAATCCTGGGATTGACTCCTGCCCCTTAGATGTATTGGCAGGGACTGGAGCAATTCACCTTAGCTATGGTCTCAGTATCCTCAAAATAACGAAAATGAGTGAGTTCATGTCCGTAAAGGACTTAGAACAGGGCTGGGCACAGAGTCGATGGTATAGAAGTATTAGCCACAATAATAATATAGAATTCTATGCCCACCAAAGCATTAAGAGTGGTCAGTGGTGAGGGTTTATGGGGAGACCCTCACTTCCTGCTTCACTTTTCTATTTTAATCCTTTGAAAGCTCCTGTTACTTTCAAATTTTAAGAATAGTGAAGGAAATAAAAGTTTTTAAAAATCGAGTACAAGGAAAAGGGTCTCCACTGTGGGAGATGTGTTTATTTTCTAAGAAAGAATGGTAGAGCAGGTCTTTTTGGAGGATGAACTTGGAATGCAGATTTAAAAACTGCCTTATTGTGAGATCTCTCGTTTTACTGACAAACTTTTTAGGGTACGATTTTGAAGCAAATGGAATATGCAGGATCATCTTTTGCTTTGGGACATAGACAGTGCAGGCAAGAACCAACACTGCTCTTATTACTCACAGTCCCGGAGGGGAAAGTAGTCTCATTTTTGTCCTGTACTCTCTGTGGACCCAGAGATGGAGTTCTGCACGCCTAAGTCCTCTCTATGCAATGCCTTGGTCCCCACCACTGCCTCTGTCTCCCCTAAGCTTGCCCATTGCCCTCCCTGCCCAGTAGTTCTCACGACATTCTTGACCCCGAGACCCCCATGTGGACACAGAGGTGGCTCAGAGTTCCCCAGGCCACCTGGGACTCCGGATTGTTTGTTTGTTTGTTTTTCAGTTTCCTCTAATGAAATCTGAGGAACCTGGAAAGGGTCCGTCCGAGTCTTACCTGGAAGGCTTTGTGCTAGGCTCCTTAATGAAGGAGGGCAGGGTGAAGAGGAAGAAGAGCAGCAAAACCAAAAGCAAGGGCCACAGGACACGTTGGCCCAGGTGACGAGGTCTCCATGGACAGGACCGCATGGTGGTGGGTTGGGACCTAAAGGAAATCTCTGCACATCCTGGGGCTTGGTGTGGATGCAGATAGATCCCTGCTGGCTGCTGGCCGGGTGTGCAGCGCCTCTGGAAAAGTCAGTCTCTGCCAGGGGAAGGAGGAGCCGCCTTCACTGCTCTAGGAAGGCGTATAAGCCGTTGTGGCTTGAAGGAAGAGAAACTCCTTTTGTTCAAACAAGTGCACTTTTTTCTCTCCCTCTCGGAAGCTGATTTCTGGATGTAGAACTTTATGAGAAACGGGCACCTCACTTTGGTCAGGTTACTCCATTTTCTTGCCTTCCCCTCACAGGGACTGGGGTGGTCCCATGGCCACCCTAGGAGTGGGGTGCTCTTATGTCCCCATGTCACGGCTGAGGCCTCCTCGAGCCCACCTTTGCCCTGGCAGAGAGTGGGGTGCTGGCCCAGGGTTGTGTTCTTCCCCATGGCACAGCAGCTGCACCCCTGAAAAATCATTAGCTCTGCAGAAGAAGAGAAGCACCACAGACTCTTGGGGGGAAAATGGACAACTCTGAGCAATAAAACCAAGATCAGTTTTCTAGGTTTCAAGAAAACAGCAGATTTGGAGACGCAGCCGTACAGTGGATTATTAGTTTTAAAAATAGTGCTCCCGGGGCTGGGGATTTAGCTCAGTGGTTCCGCCACCTGCCTCGCAAGCATGAGGTCCTGAGTTCGATCCCTGGTACCTAAAAAATAATAAAAATAATAAAAATAGTGCTCTCGATGCCCCGCAGTGTACAGGTCTTTCTGAGCAGTGAAGGTGGGAAAGGAGCCACTTGGAAGGACTGGGGACCCAGGCTCTTTGCTCAGACCTGGCAGTGTGCTCGACTCCTGAAGGACAGCTTCCCTTTCTCTACCCAAAGCCCTTGGCCTTGACCCAGAGCATGGGCATGCACCGAGAAATGTTCGGCTACTTCCCCAGAGAGCAGAGAAAACAATCTCTCAGCACCGACCCGCACTCATACTCAGTCACTCCCTCTCCCCCTCCCCCTCCCTGCTTCCCACCCTGCCCCCCCTTCCCCTAATGAGGAAACGCATCACACATGGACTTTAGAGACATTTTCTGAATAAACTTGTGTCATTGCCTAGCTCTCTTTGCCCTGACTCACCCAGGACTCTGAATTCTCTTAGGCACCTGTCAGGGCAATTGTATTTCTCCATCCTGGTGCCCATTTGAGATGCTGGGCAAACGAAAAGCGCATTGGGAAGGTGTTTGCTTACCACCAGCAAACAGTGCAGCCCAGCACTGCCTCTTTCTTCTCACCCGTGTTCAGAACACAGGACTGGGTCTGCACTCTCTGACTTACAAAGGGCAAGGAGGTGCAGCCGAGCCCCTGAGAGCCACCAGCACTGTGCCTCTCAATAGCCGTGCATTGAACTTGAGATCTGAAGGCCAGCTGGCGGGGGGGGGGGGCGCAGGAGACTGATCCAGAGTCATTTCCTGATTTTCTCAGATTACAGTGCAAGACTGCTATACCCCATGCCAGGGCGGAAAGTGAGATTCAGGGAATACACACTAGGGGAAACTGATTCCAGCCATCATCAAAAGTCTCGGTGTTTGGCAAGATTTACTTTTTTCTCCTTTTTAAATGAAAACTTTTATTTTTTTGGTACCGGGGATCAAACTCGGGTCCTTGCGCTTGTGCAGCAGGTGGCGAAACCACTGGGCTAAATCCCTGGTCCTTAAATGAAAACTTTTGACTTTAGTCTTCATTATACACCGCCAGCCAACAGGCTGTGAAAACTTACACACAGATAAGAGTTGTTAAAAGAGAATCTGCAGGCAACAAGACAAGGATGTCCACTGTCACCACTCTTATTCAATATAGTTCTGGAAACATTAGCCAGAGCAATTAGACAAGAGAAAGAAATAAAAGGAAGAAGGATAGGAAAGGAAAAAGTTAAATTATCATTATTTGTGGATGACATGATACTCTATATAGAAGATCCCAAAAACGCCACTGAAAGACTTCTGAATTTAATAACCAAATTCAGTAGGGTAGTTGGATGCAAAGTTAACATTCAAAAATCAACAGCATTACTGTAAACAGACTTATCATTGAGAGAGAAATTACGGAAACCACACCTTTCACAATAGTATCCCAAATAAAACTAAATACCTATGAATCAATCTAAAGGAGGAAGGAAAAGACCTTTACATGGAAACTACAGCACTCTGAAAAAGGAACTCAAAGAGGGTATCAGAAACTGGAAAGATATCCCTTGTTCTTCGATAGGAAGAACAAAGATAGTGAAAACGGTGTACTTCCAAAATTGTTATACAGATTTAATGCAGTCACAATCAAAATACCAATAGCATATCTCACAGAATTAGGGAAAACAATCCTAAAATTCATTTGGAACCGGAAGAGACCTAGACTAGCACAAGCAATTCTGGGCAACAAAGGCAAGGCAGGGGGCATCACATTCCCTGACCTGAAATTATACTACAAAGCTACTGTGATAAAAACAGCATGGTTGGACCAGGGATGTAGCTCAGTGGCACTGCACCTGTCTGGCAAGTGCAAGGCCCTGAGTCCCATCCCTGGTACTGAGAAAAAACAGAACAGAACAAAACAAAACAAAAACAGCATGGTACTAGCAAAAAACAGACCTGAGCATCAGTGGAATAGATTAGAAGATGCAGAAACAACTCCAAACACACTCAGCCACCTTATCTTTGACAAAGGGGCCAAACACCTTCACTGGAAGAAAGATAGCTTCTTTCATAAATAGTGCTGGAAAAACTGGCTTTCCACATGCCAGAGTTTAAAATTAAACCCGTATCTTTCACCATGCACTAAACTAAAACTCAAAATGGATCAAAGATCTAAATATTAAAACAGAAACACTAAATCTGCTGGAAGATAGAATAGGTAGAATAGGTAGAACTCTTGAAGACATTTTATGACATGAAGACACTTCCCTGATCGCACAGGAAATATCACAAAGAATCAACAACTGGGACCCCATCGTATTAAAAAGCTTTTGCACAACAAAATAAACAAACAGAGTGAAGAGATAATGCACAGTTTGGGCAAAACATTTTGCCAGCTGTTTCTCAGACAAAGGACTAATATTTATAATATATAAAGAGGGCCGGGGATTTAGCTCAGTGGTTTCGCCGCCTGCTGCGTAAGCTCAAGGACCAGAGTTTGATCCCTGGTATCAAAAAAAAAAAAAAAAAAGGGCTAGGGCTGGGGATTTAGCTCAGTGGTTTCACTGCCTGCTGCACAAGCACAAGAACCAGAGTTCGATACCCGGTACCAAAAAAAAAAGGGGGCTAGGTATTAGCTCAGTGTAAAGTCCCTGGGTGCATCCCTGTAATCCCCCATTTGGGAGCCTGAGGCAGGAGGATCGCCATGAGTTCAAGGCCAGCCTGAACTAATAGTGAGACCCGTCTCAAAAAAGAAAAGCCCTGGGTTCAGTCCCCAATAACACACAGACACACAGACACACACACACACAGATTATTTGCAGTAAAGGTAAAATCATGATGTAAGACCGAGGGCCTTACCAAACGCTCCGAGGAGCTGACTGCAGCAAAGAACACCCGGGAAGGAACACACCGGACAAGTTGGAAAGTAAAACAGACCTTAGTCTGGCCAGACGGTACTCCCAAAGCAAAGTAGCTTAGAGAGGCGACTAGCCCAGAGTCCGAGGCTCTTTTTATAGGGGGTTGCAGGAGAAGTTAACAGGTGAAATTTACAGAAGAGGAACAAAGGTTAGTGGTCAGCTGACATGTACTGATGGTCAGCAGATGTTTGTAGATTGTTCTATAGATAGCGGTGTCCAAAACATCAGTTTCAAACAAAGAGTTGAGTAATTTACTTTGGGACCTTATGGCTGATACAGATCTTACCTAGTGTCCCCGAACTAACAAGCATCTTTATCTATTTACTCACATTCACAGTTGGGGCTAGGGGAGTTTTATGATTACAGAGTTATGCAGTCCCACAATGAGTCTCATATAGATAGGAGATATAAAAATATCATGTACAGGTGCAAATTCCCTATGATGAGTGTTATCATTTGTGTATGTCTAAAATATACCAATAAATGTTTTTCTTCAAAAAAATGTTAAAGATTTATTCTACTCATGAGAGAACCAGGTAGATGTAATAACCAATTCAAGATGGAAGTATGCCGGGAATGGTGTGCTGTAGATCACCAAGGCCAGGCCTAACTGGCCTCCTCCGACCATGAGGCAGGACCCCGTGGGAGGAGAACAGGCGACAAGAGGGCGTGGGGAAGCAAGGCCTGGCCACGTGCCTTCCTCCGCGTCCATTCTCCATAAAACCATCAAGCATGATCATCCGCAGACCTTAGCTACTCTCCGGGACCCGGTTACGGACGGAAGACGGACGGACGGATCCCTTCTACCTCCCCATGTGCTTCCCTTATCTCTACAACTATAAACAAGCGCTGCAGTTGCCTGGGGACTTTTCCCTCCCATCAGGAGTATCTTTTTGTCCATTCATATCTCTTTGTCTTTGTGGTGGCAGAAGTATAAGAACATAAATTAATTTAGAGTAAGAATAATAATCAAAATGAATTACAAATTGGGACAAAACTAGATTTTTCCACAGAAGGAGGGAAGTCATAAATGGGAGAGAATTTGCATGTCTATCAGCTGCCTACTATTTGGAATTGTAAAATCCCTCAGAAGCAACGGAAGGTGAAATCAGCTAGCCTGGAGGAGCGTCATTGACGCAACAGTTTTCTGCAGCGAGCGTTCCTTGGAATCACTGTAGGGTTGGCATTCTTTTTCATTTTCTTTTCTTTTCTTTTTTTTTTTTTCCTCTTCTTGAGACAGCGTCTCCCTGTCCTGTGCATGTTGGCCTCTTTCTTAGTTACTTTTCTCTCATTGCTGAGACAAAATACCCAACACCCAAAGTTAAAGGAGGAAAGGGTTATTTGGCTCACTGTAGAGGTTTCAGTCCATAGTCGGCTGGCTCCAAGGCCAAGTGACATGGCAGAAGGGCGTTGAAGAGGAGAAACAGTTCAGGGTGGGCAGAAGGTAGCAAAGCAAGCAAGGGGGAACACAAGCCTCTTTCTGTC